ACGCTGAGTTTCCAGTTCCACTGAAAGAGAACAATAAACCCCCTGCTGCTTAGTGGTTCAAAACTGGCATTTAGTGTTCGCAATTCACTGGAGCCTTCATTTTTCATTTCATTTGATTAATTTTTATTTTTTTTTATGAAAGCTTACAATATTTGCAAGATACCAGTTAAGCCTGATTTCTGAATTTTTGTTTGATTATATTAAATTTTTTGTGCAAAATGCAGAAAAAGTAACAATTTTGAAGAAAATGTACTCTCCTGTTCCAGTTAATAAATGTTACATAACAAAAACTAGTTGAAAACAATTATACGGTTCTTCCAAAACAAAAAAAAAAATACACAAAACAAAAATTTTGAAATGTTATAAAAAATGTTCACCAAACTAAATAGTTTTTTGTTTGCTTATTAGTAAAAATTGGTTGAAAAATTACGGTTTCGGTGGATTATGAACATTAAATTCCAAATTTTGAACCACTGTGTGCTGGCTTCGTCGTGCAGTATGAATTATCGTAAACGCATTTTGGTAGCAAGGGATGGCGAAGTCCTTGAAAAGGATTTGGCTTCATTTTTTCGCTACAGCAGGGGAACTTGTACAATTAAATAATACAATTAACTGTAAATATTTGATTTAAATTAAGATATGGGTAAGGTACTTTTATCATACGAGTTGTATGTAACGGGTGATTTTTTTGAGGTTAGGATTTTCATGCATTAGTATTTGACAGATCACGTGGGATTTCAGACATGGTGTCAAAGAGAAAGATGCTCAGTATGCTTTGACATTTCATCATGAATAGACTTACTAACGAGCAACGCTTGCAAATCATTGAATTTTATTACCAAAATCAGTGTTCGGTTCGAAATGTGTTTCGCAAACCCAATTGCTGCGAACGGCGACGAATCGACATTTCACGGTCTTCAGCAACACTCTCAGAAACAGACGCAATATTCTCTTCTGTACGCACTGTACGCATTCGTGTGGTTGGTTTAATGTCCAATAAAGTAAACTGAGTGCGAAACTTGGTCACAATCGCATTAATTGTTTGCTCACTTGGTCGATTATGTAGACCATAAATCGGACGTAATTCGAACCGAACACTGATTTTGGTAATAAAATTCAATGATTTGCAAGCGTTGCTCGTTAGTAAGTCTATTCATGATGAAATGTCAAAGCATACTGAGCATCTTTCTCTTTGACACCATGTCTGAAATCCCACGTGATCTGTCAAATACTAATGCATGAAAATCCTAACCTCAAAAAAATCACCCGTTATGTATTCCCAAATCATTTTGAAAAAAATGCCCGGAAACTGCACATCAACTTGCGGTGAGATAATGGCAATATCACAAGCAGTCACTATGGCTAGTAATAATGAAAATAAAAAAGCTGCAATCTTTACAGACAGTCAGGGTGCAATTAAGGTCCTCAACAGCCGCACAACACAAAATTTCCTGGTAGCTGAAATCCATAATAAACTAGTATATTACTCAAAAATAGAAAACATTGCAATAGTCTGGACAACTAGCCAGGCCCGTCGAGAGGGAGGGAAAAAGGGGTGAAACCCACCGGCCCCGGGCTTCTTAAGGGGCTCGAAATATTAGAACCATTACTTGTTATTATTTTCTTACAATGTAATTGCTCCTTCGTTACAGACTTTTATTTAAATATATTCCGATTCGTGCTGATTGTTTCTGATTCTTTAAATTAAAGAAAATGATCATAAGGCCTACAACGCGGACTATTACACTACGTTTTGGCTCACGGTCAGCGCTCCCAGATGTACGGATTTTTCCTTACGGTACGGATTTGCAGGGGTGAAAATGGTTGTACGGATTCAACGTACGGATTTTTAGCATTCCGTCAAAATGTACGGATTTTTGTACGGATTTTCCGAGTGCCTTTTTCGTATTGTAAAAATTTGCTTGCTTTAGACATATATCATAGGTTTCTTATAGTTCCTGAACCCTCAATTTTTTATTTAAACAAATTCGTTATTTTCGTATTTGAGGGACTTATCTATTAACAGCTTGACTATTTTTCACCCGATTTTAAAAACCAAACATAAGAAGAGGATTTATAGGTCTTTAAAATTATGTATAACAATCTATTGGTAGACTTCGATTGTTGGGAAGCTTTTTCGCGTAAAACTAAAAAAAAAACACTAATTTTCTTCATTTTTATTACAACGCTTTTATCAACTTGCAATGTTGTGTTCCAGAAACTTTCACTGTTGTGGATCCAGAAACTTTCAATGTTGTGTTCCGACACCAAAGCAAAGCTTTGAAAAGCTCCTATAAAAAAGCATAGTGAATAGGGCGAGGTAGATGACATCTAGATGTCGCCCTATGTACTACGTTTGCTACACCGGAAATAGACGACACGCCATTTCTTTAAATAAAATTAATTTGACTATTGTCAACTAAATCGAATGCTTTGTAAGTGAAGTGACTTGTGGACCACTTGAGGTATAGGTGGACCAGTTGGTAACCACTTTGGGACCAGTTGGTAACTAGTTCGTGGGACCAGTTGGTATGCAGTTTGGAACTAGTCCGAAACTACTTACCTTCGGACCAGTTGGGGACCAGTTGGTCTTTTTAAGCTCCTGTGGCCGTTTTAAGGGTAATTCTTGGGCTCCTGCACTGCCGCTCGGGGTTTCTGCCTTCTACGGTGGTAATTTTGGGCCGGGTTGCCTGTTTTGGCGGATTGTTGTGCTGTGTGCCGCGTATTACGTGTACCGGGTACCACTTTCTCGAGCGAATTGCTCTGGGGAACCTGTTGTGTGAGTTGCTGGCTTTTTGGCTAGACTTTGAGGAGGGTTTATACACGCATATCGGCGGAAATAGACGACACGCCATTTCTTTAAATAAAATTAATTGGTGCTCGTTTGTATGTACATACATATGTAAATGCATGTGTGTGCACCTTTCTATTAATATCGTTGAATTATTTTAATATCTATTGCAAAATTTTATTCAGACAGGACTAAAAAGTAGAAAATAAATAATATAAAAAAAACTTTTTAATATACAACGCTTTTATAAATGGACTAAAAAGTAGAAAATAATACTTCTCAGTCCCATAGAATTTGTTTTGATAACTTTTGATTTTGAAATTTTAGCAAAAGTCATTATAAACAATCTATGAAATTGAAAATGAAAAGCGTGGGGCGCAAGTTTTTTTTATATTATTTATTTTTTCACCACAACTTCACAACTTTAACCATCGCTTCAAACATTACACTGTTACTCGGTAGTGTCGACAACCTACTTGAAATGCTTTGCTGCATGTACACAAACAAAGAACGCACTTAGTTTGTTCCAGTACACTTGGACAAAGTAAGAAATAGTATAAAATTACAGGAAGTCGTTCCCATACGCAAGAATTTCTCTCACAGGGAACACTTTTGAGCGAGTAAGAAAGCAACTCTTTCCAGTCGGACGTAACGGGATTTTTCCCGACGTTTTTCTTCCTGAAAGTTCGTCAAAAGTGTCAAATGATATGCAGGGTTGCATTTGTAAACAAAAACAGTGCAAGAAAAGATGGAAGTGACAACGTAATATTTGAATATGTACGCAATTATTCTTAACTGTATAGTTTTTAATAAGTATTTACCGATTTTAACCCAATCAGTAATGTACCAATGACATGTAAACAAACCGACTGACGTTTGTGCTGGAAATAGTGCTTTTTGCGTTCCTGTACACTTCTGCATCTGTTCTCATTTAACTCTCACTTGAGAGAGTAACATTGTAGTTTGACACTTCCACAGGTTTTTGCCCGAAGAATACTGGAACAATCTAACTGCTTGTTAAAAAGTTCTAGTCAGAAAAATTATAAGGTTGTCTGCGAAGCAATCAATAAATAGGACTAGTGGAAACATGTGTTGCTTTATTTGATGTTATCCGGTCTGTTTCGTTACAGAAAAAGACTGTTAGGTTACCTATGCGATATATGTACGTATCGATTATAATAAGGTTTTTAAATGGCTTGTAGTCTGTTTTATGCAATAAGTATCATGAATACAGTACGCTTGCGATTTGACATGTAATCCAAAGAAATTAAGAATTGTAAATACAGATTTGAAAGTTTCTGTTGCTGTGCAGCTGTAGGTCGTTTCAGAAACAATTTCCTGCGCAGAACTTGAGCTCCAGCTTACAACTTTGCCAAGATATTGAGGTTTTTCGCGGTTAAGTACTCGAAAAACGGCTTTAATGGCCACTTTTGTTTGCTCTATACCATTTAGTACTACCCCAGTCAAATAATTATATGTATGTGCAAAATGTTTTTCCTCATTTTAGCTCTATTAAAGAAAAGTAAAACTTTTTGCTGTATGCGATTATAATAGCCTTTAGTTTATCAGTATTTTCATATGTTAAGTTGATGTTCCTTTACAACTTTAATCACCATTAACACAAACTATTTTTAATATTCAATAGTAAATAATTATATGTGCAAAATTAAGTATTCAGTTCCGCCTGCTCCAGTGTCAAATATTTCCAACAGAAAACTACATCAATGACTGTGAGGTAAAAACTTGAATATATAGAAGCTATTTTAATAATAAACCCTGTTTTATTATTTTCCCTAGTTATATTATGGGCCATAATATCCCGTGACATTGAACTATCTGAAGAACAGGCCGGACATATATCAGGAATGAAGTTTTGTGGCATGAAATCTAGCTAAATAACTGCTGAAGTAATCGGACAGCAGAATATAATAAGATGTTCCTTTAAAAATCCCGACGATAAGCTTGGTGCCCTATATAAGTCCCAAAAGAGTGGTGCAAATGATATATCCAGTAGTTAGCTACTAGGAATAGCATGATTTACCGTAAAAATTGAAATGTATTTGAATCTCTCTGTCATAAGTAAAAGTTCACAATAAATAATAAACACAGTTTTGGTACTTAAGTTGAAGAAATAGATCGCTAAACCACAGCCCACTCTATGGCACGAAAATGCGTTTTTAGCATTTTACAAAGATTACAAATTTTGTAGGAAGAATTGAAAAACCCTATTTTCAATGATGAAAGAAACTCCAATATAGTTGATCCAGATGCCCACCACAACTTTGACCACACTGTCTTTGGCGAAAAGGATCGTTGGTTTAAAGTAAAAAGCATATAGCTTTGGAAAACAAAAAAAAAATCGTTTCACTATGGGATAAATGAATATCAAGAATGAGAAACATTCTTTGCGCATTAAGTTGGCAAATTTTTCGCTCATTTCGACCGAAGATATATGGAGATTCCAGCGGTAAAATGTTGCTATTCACACCGTGCGAACAACAAAATCGTTATTCAAGGAACAAAATACCTTCTTTTAGAGTAACTAGCTTCAAATATGGGCTTTAATACCACTGGGGATTTGTAAGATCTACTTCCCAACAAGATTTTTACTTATTCAAAACAGAATGATAACGAGTTGAAACTTAAATAAACCAAAGTTCACAAATAGGAGGAAATAATACAAATTTAACAAAAAAAAAGTCGGTAAAATATATGCCACAAAGCGTAAAACAAATAAAATTCTGTAATAGAAATACAATCAAATACCAACAAATAAAGTTATCTTTAAAACATTTTGAAAAATAGTCGGTAACCTAACGCTTGTTTCTTTGCACATATAAATATTGTCTACGAAAATTTCAGCATAATGGTACAATTAAATTATCTTGTTATAAACTAATGCATATTCATACAGTTTTTTATATTCTTTTGATAAAGTAAATGAATACAATTATTGGGAAAAAACATCAAACATCTAATATTGGTTTTTCATTTAACTAGTTGAAGTTGAAGAATTGCACATATAATTTTTTTACTGGGGTACTTTTACACCTCACTTTCAGAAACTATGGTCATTGAAAGAAGACGTAATGAGTGAGAAAGCATTTGGCGACATTAGATTCGAGAACATGGCAATTAAAGTGGCCGTAACTCTTGAAGGAAAAATCTTATAGCTCCATTTGAGATTGAATTTTGAAGGATAATAATAAATAGTACTAGAAAAATTCTTGAATTAATTCCAATAGATTTGTATTATTTAATCAGAAAATCTTCTTTTAGCTTATTATTTTGCTTTTTTGGCCTCGTTCCTTTTTGAAACAATATAATTCTCGCGTTTTTTTTATACCCGAGCGGACTCGTGCACAAGGGTATTTATTATAACTTTGTTCACACAACGGTTGTTTGTAACAGGAAAAACGAATCGATATTGATATAGACAAATGTATACATAAATGATGATGATAAAAAGAGAAATCGATTAAGCGGTGACTGTCTGTCCGTCCGTCCGTCCGTCTGTGCACACGATAAATCGAATAAAAATTGAGATATCTTAACGAAACTTGGTACGTGCACTTCTTTTGGGCGTAGGACGGATGGTATTGAAAATGGGCGAAATCGCCTACCTCCCATATAACGGTAATTTTCAGAAATACGAAAACTGCGATATTTTAGTATGTACTGAAGATAATTCACTCAAAATTGACATTTACAATGATTTTTAGACGAAAAATAAGAATATTAAAAATTTTTGGAAAATGGGCGTAGCCACGCACACTTATGGTTACATGTGTATATCTTGGTAGCCCCTGTACCAATTTCTTTCGAGCTTGGCACAGTTTTTGGCCTTGGTATAACATACGAAATAGCCGAAAATTTTTAAAATCGGACAACAACCACGCCCACATCCCATATAACGGTAATTTAGAGAAATACGAAATCCTCGATAAATCAGTAAATATTAAAGCTAATTTATTGGTTGCTCCAATTCTTTGCCAAGAAATGCGTTTATGATAAAATTTTGGAAAATGGGCGTAGCCACGCACACTTATGGTTACATGTGTATATCTTGGTAGCCCCTGTACCAATTTCTTTCGAGCTTGGCACAGTTTTTGGCCTTGGTATAACATACGAAATAGCCGAAAATTTTTAAAATCGGACAACAACCACGCCCACATCCCATATAACGGTAATTTAGAGAAATACGAAATCCTCGATAAATCAGTAAATATTAAAGCTAATTTATTGGTTGCTCCAATTCTTTGCCAAGAAATGCGTTTATGATAAAATTTTGGAAAATGGGCGTGGCGCCGCCCACTTATGATCACATATATGCATCTCGGTAACCGTTCTACCAATTTGTACCATCCTCGGTGTGGTTATTGTGCTTGCCACATAAAAGCAAAGTGTTGAAAATTATTAAAATCGGCCTAAAATTACGGTCGCTTTTCATATAACAATAAATTTCAGAAATGCTTGAAATTTCAATATTTCGAAATTTAAGGACGCTAACTTACTCAAAATTGATACACCCCGGCTTACCATGTAGCGGTAGCTTGCGGAAAGGTGAAAAATATATAAACTTTCTTACTTGTTTCTACGTAAATTTTTTATTTACTGAGCCTATTTGAGTTAGAAAGAATATAAATTTTAAATATGGGTCAATAGCACGTTGAATAGCTTACAATGTTCCTTTCAAAATGAGCCATATCTCTAACAAAATTAAAAATAATTTTACCTGAAAATTCAATTAGTGAAAAATACTTACGTTACAAATAGTTTTCCACCGAAAATACATGGATAATGAAGATAATAGGAAACTGCTTTATTTTATTGTAAAAGAAGGCCGAAAATGCTCAAGGAAAACCAGATTTTTCCATTTGTAGCCTGGTGGACTCCGCGTCAAAGAACTTTTTGACATTTTTGACTGTTACATTGCATTAAAAAATACTGGCGACTTTATTTTCATTTAGAAAGTTAATCACTGATTAATTTTTCGAATACTTGTTTTTATTAACATGAAAGTAATACAAAGCAAGCGAAGAGAAGCAAGTATAATGCAAAATAAATAAAATATGCAATACAAAGCATTAGATTTATTTGACTATTGTCAAATTGCATAACATAGACCTAAAATTTCTGCAGAGAGAGTCCAAATTTGAGATCGATTTTAAGCGGTCGTTATTCATATATTACCCTCCATATCAATTCAGGTCTATTACAAGCGCCCCACGCTTTTCATTTTCAATCTCGTAAATGGTTTATAATGACTTTTGCTGAAATTTCAAAATCAAAAGTTATCAAAACAAATTCTATGGGGCTCAGAAATATTATTTTCTAATTTTTAGTCCATTTATAAAAGCGTTGTATATTAAAAAGTGGATTTATTTTATTTATTTTCTACTTTTTAGTCTTGTCTGTATAAAATTTTGCAATAGATATTAAAATAATTCAATGCAAGCAAAATGTTGTTTGCTCACGTTTTATATAAACATACATATGTACATACATACATATAGCAGTAGTTGATTTCATTTAAAGAATTGACTTGTCGTCCATTTCCGCTGTAGCATATGTAAATAGTGCATATATTTAGGCGCAGTATTTAACTTCTTCTGGCGGGGCGACATCTAGAGTCTTATAGTTGCATCTCTTTGATATGATGCCTACAACGAGGTTGATATCTAGACTAGGTTGATATCTAGAATTTGCCATAAATAGCTTTGCTACATTTATAGTATAAATGGTGGTCTGGACATACAACATTGCAAGTTGATAAAAGCGATGTAAAATGGTGGTCCTGATATACAAACAACCCTTAATTGCATGTTCTGCCTTTTCAATTTTTATTAATTTAAAGGTGCCTCAGGATTAAGTGAATTTCATGTTTGAGAGAAGGAGATTCGAGTTGATATTTATATTGTCTGATACCTCAGATATGTATGACACAGGTATAATCAAAAATATGGTTTCGTTTTCAGCTATTTCGACCATATGCTTTTAAATTAATACAATTTATATATAGGGGCCATGATTTTTAGTCCTGGGCCCGAGTTTTCTTTCGACCGCCCTGCACCTAGCCACTTGGTATAACTATAAACGAAAAAGCGGATACAGCTGCAAAAACAGCAGTTAACCACGACAAATCTTTACTTCCAAAGCCAAATCTGACTTTATCAACAAACTTCCAAACTGGGACCCCAAATAGTATAATATTTCACACCAAAAGAAAAACAGCCGTGGTTCAAAAACAAAAAATTGGACTTAGAAGCGTAGGACATAAAACTCATAAACATAATCGCAACTGGACACACTTATGGTAAAGGCTGGTTTTCATTAGGTCAAAATCGATGACATCAAAAACTGCCTTCATTTGACTGATGTTCATTTGGTGTCAAATGCGTTTTCATTACATTTTAAAAACTGACCAAATGTCGATACCGCAGTGCATGTCAAAGACTGTCGTCAAAATTTTGGTGTCAGATGATTGACATTCCGTTTTCATTACTGGTGTCAAATGTGAAGTTAAATTTTTACAAAAAGTGTAGAATACCGACCTTTTAGCTATAGACAGATCAAAAATGTGACTGGATAGAACTTCATGCTGATTTCAACCTTACCAAATTTTTTTAGCGCATGTATAAAATTAAAAAGATATAATTTTGAGTTAAATTTTTTGATATATGTATTGAAATATCAATATCTTATGAACTAAATAACCGATTAAACAACTAATGATATCAGAATAAAGACCATTAATTTATCTTTCAGTTGATGTACATAATTTTTATGATTTTTTATATTTTTAAGCCAAAAATACTAAAAAACAAAAAAATTTAATTTTTTATAAAATAACCTTTTTTGAAGGCAATTGCATAATTAATCTACACAAATTTATATTATTTAGAAAGTACAAGTATCTTATATAGAAAAGTTTTTATAAGGCGAAATTTAACGAAAGTAGTGGTAAAAATCGAAAGACAAAAGATGGTTTTAGTAAATACATTGCAAAAAAGGTTGTAGTACAATTTTACAATTATCCTTAAATTGGCATCAACACTCTTCTAATCGGTCAAGTAGTTCCCGAGATATTAATCATATAAAAAATAGGAAAGTTGAAGTTTAAACTGTTATATTTTCTCGCCCCAAATAATTTTGGTATGGTTGAAATCAGCGTGAAAAGGTCTATCGATCTGCATTTTTGTATTTTTTTTTTTTCTGTAGCTAAACGATTGGTATTGTATCTATAATCAGCTGTTCGCATGGCAAACGAAATCAGAATTGCCAACAAGTTGGCAAACACATTTTGATTGTCAAATGCTACCACATCAGCGGCGAGGG